ACGGTTACACAAGACAACATCGTTATGACATCATAAAGTGGCCAAAATCTGATCAGCTCATTTTCAGACAGGTTTTTATAGAAATGGATCAAAAAGAGAGAGAATCTTTGTTCCTGAAACTTTCAGAGTCTCTTTCCACAGAGGGGACACATGTTGATGTAGAAGAGATATGAAGAAGAGGGGACACATGTTGATGTAGAAGAGACATGAAGAAGAGGGGACACATGTTGATGTAGAAGAGACATGAAGAAGAGGGGACACATGTTGATGTAGAAGAGACATGAAGAAGGGAGACACATGTTGATGTAGAAGAGACATGAAGAGAGGGGACACATGTTGATGTAGAAGAGACATGAAAAAGAGGGGACACATGTTGATGTAGAAGAGACATGAAGAAGAGGGGACACATGTTGATGTAGAAGAGACATGAAGAAGAGGGGACACATGTTGATGTAGAAGAGACATGAAGAAGAGGGGACACATGTTGATGTAGAAGAGACATGAGATGGGGGGCACATGTTGATGTAGAAGAGACATGAGAAGAGGGGACACATGTTGATGTAAGAGACATGAAGAAGAGGGGACACATGTTGATGTAGAAGAGACATGAAGAAGAGGGGCACATGTTGATGTAGAAGAGACATGAAGAAGAGGGGACACATGTTGATGTAGAAAAGACACGAAGAAGAGGGGACACATGTTGATGAAAAGACATGAAGAAGAGGGGACACGTGTTGATGTAGAAGAGACATGAAGAAGAGGGGACACATGTTGATGTAGAAGAGACATGAAGAAGAGGGGACACATGTTGATGTAGAAGAGACATGAAGAAGAGGGGACACATGTTGATGTAGAAGAGACATGAAGAAGAGGGGACACATGTTGATGTAGAAGAGACATGAAGAAGAGGGGACACATGTTGATGTAGAAAGACATGAAGAGAGGGGACACGTTGATGTAGAAGAGACATGAAGAAGTGGGACACATGTTGATGTAGAAGAGACATGAAGAAGAGGGACACATGTTGATGTAGAAGAGACATGAAAAGAGGGGACACATGTTGATGTAGAAGAGACATGAAGAAGAGGGGACACATGTTGATGTAGAAGAGACATGAAGAAGAGGGACACATGTTGATGTAGAAGAGACATGAAGAAGAGGGACACATTTTGATGTAGAAGAGACATGAAGAAGAGGGGACACATGTTGATGTAGAAGAGACATGAAGAAGAGGGGACACATGTTGATGTAGAAGAGACATGGAGAAGAGGGGACACATGTTGATGTAGAAGACATGGAGAAGAGGGGACACATGTTGATGTAGAAGAGACATGAAGAAGAGGGGACACATGTTGAGTAGAAGAGACATGAAGAAGAGGGGACACGTGTTGATGTAGAAGAGACATGAAGAAGAGGGGACACATGTTGATGTAGAAGAGACATGAAGAAGAGGATGTTGCATAATAGGTGACCTTTAATTATGTATACATCAAATATGTACCTTCTTGCTTACGATGTAATCATGTATGTATCATGTGTGTATCTTGTACACATGCTATGTCTTACTATTTTCTGTTTGCCTTGTGTACGAAATTGTCAAAGCTCTGCTATACAAATAAAGCTTTGTTATTCCTTCTACATGTATTGTTCCACATAGTACCATGAAATCCTCAGTTTTGGATGATTCGCTGATATATATTTCCAACTAGCTCTCCAATGTGTAATCACTGTAACAAAGCTTTGTGAAAGGGTTTGGCTGTTTGCTTCATATCGTCCTGTCACTGGTTACAGAGGACAAGTCAGAACAAGGTTTTTATTTCTCAGAAAGCAGGAAGAGGTGCAGTCACCTGATCCAAACGGCAACAAAGAAATAAAAGCTTTGGTCAACCAAAACTCCAATAAAAGCTTGTTGTTCATTATCTAAAAGGTGAAAACAAACCCCCATGATGTGACCCGAAGAAAACAACATTACGACCATTATCTGAAATCTCAACTCTAAAAGTAGGTATATATTTGAGCCCTATCTCGTCTGGATTCCCACAGCTTTTGAAAGACAGGGGGGCGACCACATGACGGAGTTCATACAGCAACTTCCCATCCTCTTTTTCATTTCTTCTTTCCGAGTAGTCTCTTTATGTTAAAGTCCTTTAAACTGCACACAGACTCACATATGCCTCAACAGTTCAGCCCCCGCAGGAAGTGCAAAGGAGTTAGAGCCTGAAAATACATTTCCTCCAAACTGCATGGGATATGATACTTTCATGGGAATGTTTTAACATTCAGAACCAATGAAATATCTATATTGTTCCATAAAATAATCTCACTAAGTCATAATTATATAACATCATGTTTATGTTGCATGCCATAGCAACATGGTGATGAGTCACTCTTGAGGATGTAATGTCGTTGTTGAGCAAGCATTTCACAGCCGAGTGAAGACAGTGCAGGAAATACATGCGGTGATTGCTATACAGACCATTTGGGATATGATTCCTATGAGACTGAGACAGACTGTGACAACACAATCTACAGTATCATTCATTCTTCCTTTTGTTGAGCCCTTACAGACTGGCCCTTTCTAACGACCTCATCTCTTCACAAACATTGACCCCCAGAGCAGGTCACTAGGGCCTCTTTCACACCCTGATTTATTTAGACATTATTCAGAGGATCTGTATGCAAGAACTTCAAAGATACTTGAGACTGCCAGCGCACTAGTACAACGGTTTTTTTGTTTATGTCCAATTGAGCCCATGTGTGAACAGATCCGCTAACTGTCAGGAGAATTTAACACAAATCAGTGGACATGTTGAAGACGTCTCGATTGCAGATGGCAACAATTTGAGAGACAACGGGATTCGGGAACTTCTGTCTGTAAGAACCAACGGCAAACGAATCACACAAATCCAGGAAACGCCAAAGAGATTCGACCACATTCACAAATAGCTACACGTCTACCGTTTATTCCACACCTTGTGCACACTCTACCTTGTTTGTGCCAAAACCAAAAGGAGTGTTTTCCATTAACGTAAGAAAGCTTCTTCTGACACAGACATCCTCCCGTTGTGTGCCACATGAACGTTAAAACCTCATTCTTGAGACATCATTACAACTTCAATCCTGTAGACATGCCTACGGGAGCAATTTGGGGTTTCAAATCTTCCCCAAGGACACTTTGACATGGGTATCGCACAGTTGACTGAGTGAAAGATCAGCTCATTAACCCAATTAAAAATAGCCGCTCCATTATATAGAGTTTATATGAGGTAACAGCTAGGGAGCAATTTCAAAAGGGACTAAAACCAAACATCATGTGGTTGTCGGTCAAAGGTATCACAGGAGATGCTACAAAAAAATATCTGTCCCACATGTTAGTGTAGAATCTGTTTTATATAATCATGTGTTTTAAGCCATACTATTCATTTAGTTTACAGGAAGGAGGGCGATCTATTTCTACGACCAACAGTTGTCTACATTTGCATGTGAGGTGTCAGCAGAAAAGGGTCATGGAACATGGGATTATTTAAAGAGAGAGGGGACAGAAAAAGCATCACAAAATTGTGTCAGGTCAGAGGTCAACTACGCATGCAGTTTGAGGCGTGTATAAGCTGTAAGATTCTCTTGGTCTATAGGGCATTACGCTGTTATACTGCTGTACAGCAATATCATATTTAACTTCAACCATCTGTGTGTTTTATTGATTCCTCTTTGTCTTATTCTTTTAAAGGTCCCCCATTATACTGTTCTTCATCAATATATCACAGGTCTCAGATATATACAGAACCTGTCTCTGATTGGCTGAAACACCAAACAGATCATTGCAGCATTACCCACAATCCCCTCTGTTTCAGCCCTGTTTCCAAAGTGCTGATTCTCTGTCTGTTACTTTAGATGAAAATAAGGAGCCCCTCCCCAAGCCCCTCTGAGAGACATTTGGTTAAGAAGAACTCAATGGAGCTCTAGGAGGAGATTCAGGTGATAAGGGGGGGGGGGGGGGTTACCTTGGTTGCTGATTGGCTAATGGTTACACAAGCCAACACATCGTTATGACATCATAAAGTGGCCCAAATCTGATCAGCTCATTTTCAGACAGGTTTTTATAGAAATGGATCAAAAAGAGAGAGAATCTTTGTTCCTGAAGCTTTCAGAGTCTCTTTCCACAGAGGGGACACATGTTGATGTAGAAGAGACATGAAGAAGAGGGGACACATGTTGATGAAGAAGAGACATGGAGAAGAGGGGACACATGTTGATGTAGAAGAGACATGAAGAAGAGGGGACACATGTTGATGTAGAAGAGACATGGAGAAGAGGGGACACATGTTGATGTAGAAGAGACATGAAGAAGAGGGGACACATGTTGATGTAGAAGAGACATGAAGAAGAGGGGACACATGTTGATGTAGAGGAGACATGAAGAAGAGGGGACACATGTTGATGTAGAAGAGACATGGAGAAGAGGGGACACATGTTGATGTAGAAGAGACATGAAGAAGAGGGGACACATGTTGATGTAGAAGAGACATGGAGAAGAGGGGACACATGTTGATGTAGAAGAGACATGAAGAAGAGGGGACACATGTTGATGTAGAAGAGACATGAAGAAGAGGGGACACATGTTGATGTAGAGGAGACATGAAGAAGAGGGGACACATGTTGATGTAGAAAGAGACATGAAGAAGAGGGGACACATGTTGATGTAGAAGAGACATGAAGAAGAGGGGACACATGTTGATGTAGAAGAGACATGAAGAAGAGGGACACATGTTGATGTAGAAGAGACATGAAGAAGAGGGGACACATGTTGATGTAGAAGAGACATGAAGAAGAGGGGGACCACATGTTGATGTAGAAGAGACATGAAGAAGAGGGGACACATGTTGATGTAGAAGAGACATGAAGAAGAGGGGACACATGTTGATGTAGAAGAGACATGAAGAAGAGGGGACACATGTTGATGTAGAAGAGACATGAGGAAGTGGATTTTGCCTAATAGGTGACCTTTAATGTTGTGAGTGTTACATCGGATCCACGACATTAGCATCTTACCTCCAGCACGGGTCCAGCTCCCAGGATGGTCCTCTCCACCCCGCTGGCGTACCCCTTCTGGCTGAGTGCGGTCAGGCAGTGGATCAGGAAGTTGGTGCTCTGGGTCTTTCCGGAGCCGCTCTCCCCGGAGATGACGATGCACTGGTTCACTCTCTTCCTGAGCATGGCGTAGTAAGCCACGTCCGCGATGGCAAAGATATGAGGCTCCAGTTTGCCCAGCTGGTGGTTCTCGTACATCTTGACGTACTTGGGGTTGTAGATGGGCAGGAACTTGAAGGGGTTGATGGCGATGAGGATGCTGCCTGCATAGGTGTAGATCTTCTTCTTGTGAAAGCGTGTGCGCAGGTTGTTTAATATGCTGTCCTCATTGAGGGCGGGGAGGTTGCACAGGTCTGCGAAGTCGTCCTGTGGAGGAGGAAGGAAGCCTCTGGCTGCGAGCTGCGCCTCCTGCTCCTTAGACACAGGAGGGAGGTGGACATAGTGGATGGTGCCATCATGGTTCCTCTCCTGGTTCAGGGAGGGAAACAGAAAGAGCTGAAATTAGCTTAGCCATTAACTGCTGAGACTGATACACTCTATGTCTGAGAGAAATACAAATATTCTCTTTGTTACATTTTCAAAAATGTGTAAAAAAGTTAATTTCCCAACTATATGTATCTTGCACGCCTAATTTAAATCTTATGTATCCAGTTGTATTCTCAGTCATTCCCAATCACATGCATTTTTGCTATAAACTTTAGTATTTAAAACACTTTGGAAAAAAAGATATTTGTGTTTGACGTGTTTAATAAGTAAGATATTAGTTCAAAAGCATGTGTTTGGAAAGTAGCTAGAATACAAATGGATAATTGAAACTCGGATTATATTGAAATAGTTGTGTGGAAACCGATGATTTGATATAGTTTTGCTGTTGTTAAACTTAACCCTCATTTACTTCAATTCTTTCAAATGTTCTCCATTTTTTGATTCTTAAATTTATCAGTGAGGTTTCGCCCGAAAAACAAAAGTTTTCATCAGGGGTTCAAGGTAACATAGGGTGAGTTATTTATATACAAATGGTCCTTTTGTTTGTGAATATTCCTTTAAGCACAGTCTCAAATAGCATTGTATTAAAAGGGATGAAATTATATTGGAAAATACTTTTAATGTAGCTAGGTTAACTGCTTTTTGTGTGTAAAGAAAGTGTTATCTAGCTTGACCACTTGTTTTTGTTTCTCACTGAACATGGCTCCACAGAGGAAGAGAAAGCAGAAGGAAGCAAAAAGCAAGTGTCGGGCGGTGGGAGGATGTTTCTCAGTGTCCTAAGTTCACGATGTCGGTCTGCAAAGTGAACTCTACTACTGTAGTAAGAAGTAGAATCCGAGGCTGCGGGGGTGCGTCTCCTGGGCTTTTTCGGGGCCACAGCAGGAACCTCTGAGCGGGCAGGTCTCCGGCCTCCAGGACCCACTCCTCGCCCCCCACACTCCTTCACCTCCGCCAGAACATACAAGCGTCCGGGGTCCAGCCCGAGAGCCGCCGCAGCGTCCGAGATCACGGAGGCCGTTGTTGCATCTTTCTGAACTCTGAGGAAGAACAAATAAATAAATAACTTAGTTTGATCAGCGCTGGGTTACAGTAGTTCTTCTTTTAAAGGTCTGCTATTATACTGTTTTTCATCAATATATTACAGGTCTCAGATATACAGAACATGTCTCTGATTGGCTGAAACACCAAACAGATCATTGCAGCATTACCCATAATCCCCTCTGTTTCAGCCCTGTTTCCAAAGTGCTGATTCTCTGTCTGTTACTTTAGATGAAAATAAGGAGCCCCTCCCCACGCCCCTCTGAGAGAGATTTGGTTACAAAGAACTCAATGGTGCTCTAGGAGGAGATTCAGGTGATAAGGGGGGGGGGGGGGTTACCTTGGTTGGTGATTGGCTAATGGTTACACAAGACAAAACATCGTTATGACGTAAAAAATCTTATCAGCTAATTTTCAGACTTTTTCAGTTTTTATATAAATAGATCAGGACAAAAAGAGACAGAATCTTTTTTCCTGAAACTTAAACTTTCAGAGTCTCTTTACACAGAGGGGACACATGTTTCTGTATAGAAGACATGAACAAGTGGATTTTGCATAATAGGTGACCTTTAAGACATAAATAAAAGCACAACAATAACTTCCAGATCGATCTACACAAATACTCAACGCTGTCCCTCCTGTGGCTGTCTCACCTGAGGTTGCAGCAGGTCAGGGTCTGAGCAGCGAGTCGGGGGTAGATCTGCAGGAGGTACGAGCGGTCCTCCAGGTCGATGGGGCTAGCTGGACAGCCGCCCCCCCCTCCTCCACCACCTGCGTTCGTTGCCATGGTGGCAGCGCCATCTCTGACACTCATCCTGGGCCAGGGGGAGTGGCCTCAGCATGCCGCGCCCAGCGCCTCCTCTCACCACGCAGCACCTGCAGACACACGGTCATTATCATCAGGGGTCATAGGTCACTTTGCTTTTATACATTCATACTGACCAGGGAGGGTGATCATTTTCCATTAGGGGTGTTACTTTGCTTAAATGTTTCACGTACAGTCTTTTTTTTACAATAAAATGTAAATAAAAGAAAAATGCAAGAGCCAAAGAGCATAACAAATCAAATGAATTACATTTTTTACTCAGAAATTATTTAAAAAGTATAGGACATTAGGAAAAAGTAAAACAATATTTTATATAAAATCTGTACAAAAAAAATACAAATATGTAAAACTCAACAAAAATGCAATAATATATATATAAAAGTACAAACAAATATATTAAAGAATATGAAAGTGTAGGAATGTGCAAATACAGTATGAAGAATAAACGACGTCTACAGAGAAAATCTCAAAATGCATATGTTTACAACACCATTTTTATTTTGGTTTATCAAACAGTAAACAAAGCTGAAGATGTATTTAATTCGTAGCATTATTATTCATTTCTATGGATTTAGTGATAATATCTAGGGTTGCAAAGGGGCGGAACATTTCCAGTACATTTCCATGGGAAGTTAAACTGGGGAATTTTGGAAATATTTCATATTGGAAACTTTCCATGGGAATTTATGAGAACTAACTGGGTTGAGGGTTATGTAATCGAATTGTATCATAAACATAAACTTTTTGTTTGTCATAAGAAAACATCCATGCAAAATGATACAATTAAAAAACATGACATTTCAACAGATTTATTTGTAAGTAGAACAGAACAAGTTTTAATTATTTTATTGAACAATAATTTGTTTCATTGAAGAACAAAAACATGAATGTTGAGTTAAATATTACTCATCCCCCCAAACCCACTCATTCAAAAATATGCTTTGGGCTCAAGAGTGTGGTCCAGTCTTGTAGAAATCATCTGTGTATGTGATGGAGGAATGCACAGTGCCTGTAGGGGGTGTGGTCTCAATAGCCATGCAGTAAGCAGTGTGTGATGTGCATGTGATGGAGGAATGCACAGTGCCTGTAGGGGGTGTGGTCTCAATAGCCATGCAGTAAGCAGTGTGTGATGTGCATGTGATGGAGGAATGCACAGTGCCTGTAGGGGGTATGGTCTCAATAGCCATGCAGTAAGCAGTGTGTGATGTGTATGGGATGGAGGAATGCACAGTGCCTGTAGGGGGTGTGGTCTCAATAGCCATGCAGTAAGCAGTGTGTGATGTGTATGTGATGGAGGAATGCACAGTGCCTGTAGGGGGTATGGTCTCAATAGCCATGCAGTAAGCAGTGTGTGATGTGCATGTGATGGAGGAATGCACAGTGCCTGTAGGGGGTGTGGTCTCAATAGCCATGCAGTAAGCAGTGTGTGATGTGTATGTGATGGAGGAATGCACAGTGCCTGTAGGGGGTGTGGTCTCAATAGCCATGCAGTAAGCAGTGTGTGATGTGTATGTGATGGAGGAATGCACAGTGCCTGTAGGGGGTGTGGTCTCAATAGCCATGCAGTAAGCAGTGTGTGATGTGCATGTGATGGAGGAATGCACAGTGCCTGTAGGGGGGTGTGGTCTCAATAGCCATGCAGTAAGCAGTGTGTGATGTGCATGTGATGGAGGAATGCACAGTGCCTGTAGGGGGGTGTGGTCTCAATAGCCATGCAGTAAGCAGTGTGTGATGTGCATGTGATGGAGGAATGCACAGTGCCTGTAGGGGGTATGGTCTCAATAGCCATGCAGTAAGCAGTGTGTGATGTGCATGTGATGGAGGAATGCACAGTGCCTGTAGGGGGTATGGTCTCAATAGCCATGCAGTAGGGCTGTACCCGAATATCCGAATATTCGTTCGTTGGAGTACTATTCGGGTTTCAATTTCATTATTCGGATATTTGTTTTTTTCCCTCGAATGTATTGAAATCTCCAATATCAACGTAAGAGCTTGTGCCTCTTCGGGGGGCCCTAACACTTAACCATAAACGCTATCGTTTACTTTCTCCGTCTTTATATGTAGATATGACTTTTTCTCCATTAATCTCCTTCATGTTGTTTCCAAAGCAACAACAACTTCCTGTCAACAGCGCTAACTCTCCTTCAAAATAAAAGCATGTCCATACAAAATAGAAAGCCAAGCCAAATTACACTTGAGACATATACAACTGCAACGAAAGTAACAAACACAATGCAATATCCTTTTCAATTTCAAAGAACACAAATTGGGTTACATACATTAACAGATAACTATAAAACAACAATACTGTAGAATAACAAAAAGAATGCCGTGAATAAACCGAAACACACGTGTCAAAGCGGTTCGCTGCTGATTAAAAACATGAAAACATATAATTGTTTGTGTGGTATTAGTTTAAGCAGACTGTGTCTATTGTTGTGACTTAGATGAAGATCAGAACACATTTTATGACCAACTTATGCAGAAATCCAGGTCATTCCAAAGGGTTCACATACTTTTCTTGCAACTGTATTCTCTCCAACAAACACTCAGCACTAATGTAAAGCCAGAGGAAACACAGCGAGATAATGAAAGTGTTCCAATACAAACCTCTCTGAAGGCCTAAACAATGACTCATCGCAGCTTAGAGCAAATATTTTAAAATGCAAACAAAATAGTTGCTTTTCAAACAAAACCTCCGACCCTCATGAGAAGCTCATCCTTTGGATTGGACAATCTGGATATCATTTAACTCTGCTAGAGATGTTTGTCTTATATTAGGCTAGATGCAAGAGGCACTACAAGAAAAATATATTTTATAGAATACACAGCTTGTAAATGATCACCAGAGTATTTGTGAAGGCCATCAAGTTGCCTTAACATCTCTCTTTGTAATCAGTCGTTCATCATAGAAATATGTTAAACTCTGTAGAGTACAGTGGGAAAAGAAACCACACAAAACATTTAGCAATCACCACTGAAATGTGGAAATATCAGACGAGATATGTGAGTGAGAAGTCACAAACTGTAAGGTGAGAAACCCTGTAGTTGCTGTCCTCAGATAGGTAATAAGAGAAGTGATAGTTGCTATGCTAAAACCTAACGCAACTAAACAAACTATAAAGTAAACTATATATATTTGGATTCTTAGACATTCTACTGAGAGAAATGCTTCAATGTAGTGAATGTAGATAGTTTCCAATTTGTGGTTTTCCTTGTATCTGAAAATGAAGACAAGAATATTTCCACTGCTTAATGAAACACATGGCCCGGGTACAGGGTTTACATTACTCTAAAAACACTGCTGTGCATTGTTATCACAACACTTATAAATAACTTCACCACTGAGAGTTTACCGTATGCTACGTCTGCAGATGCTGCGGAGAAACTGAATCCTTCCGCTTGATGATAGCAACCAGGACACCAAAACAGAGAAAACTCTAACCACAAATGGTGTAATGAGCATGTGTGTTATTCACTCCCAGACAGCAGGACTGTATGACGTTGATATTGGTGATAGGATGTTAAGCAACTTTTCACTACAACAACTTATCTCTCCATCCAAGGATAACACTCTGCCTGGCAAGGTTCCAACACTAAAGGACTTAGATCTCAGAGAACTTAGCAGAACACTAACAGAGAACAGAGTAATAGGTTTGTTTGTTCTTCACTACGGATATCTCTGATTTCCTGACCGAGGTGAAGCTGCATTCAATAATAGTAGGCTCTCATATGAACTAAACCACAATAAACTAAAGGGGGCACGACACACTTCCTGTTCTGGTGAATCACATGACAAGGTTCATGCTTACTGCAGTCAATGAGTTCAAGCTCCAATTATTTAAAGGGGACCTATCATGCAAAATGCACTTTTGTACGTCTTTTAAACATGAATATGTGTCCCCGGTGTGTCAGGGAACTCACCAAGTGTCAGAAAACACAACCCTCTCTCTTTCCTCCATACCCAAATCTCTCAAAACAGGGCTTTAACGGCTCTGATACAGACTGATACAGATTTGAAATTGTTCTGACATCAGAAACGGGGTGCTCCGCCTATGGGCAACTCTCCACCTATCAGGGGAATGAGAGGTTGCGTGGCATGGTAACAGCATGGTAACATGACGCTCGTGCCTCGCCCCCCTCCTTTGCAGGGGGCGTGGTCAGCTGCAGCTCATTTGCCACAGAATCAGCCCTTGCAAAAACAGGGCTGGAATAGAGCAAATAGAGCGAAATGAGGCATGGCTAAAATGCATGACCTGTTTGGTATTTTGAAAAAAAAACTTCACAGACATGTTTTATATAGGTATGGCCCTACAATATATTATTCAAATATAGCATGATAGGTTGACTTTAAGGAGGTCTTTAAAGCAACTGCAACACTTTTTACAGCAAGAGTTTCTTTCAATCAGGGCTAAAAACGTTTCTGTTTTTGCTGAGATAAAACATCATTATACTTCTGAACCACTTGCAGGATCTATTAGGCTCTTTCACACCGAGTACTTTTCCCAGGAATAGTTCCCGGAACTTTTATTTCCCCGGAACCAGTGGCGGCGCTAGGGGGTGGCTACTTGGGCTCAAGCCCCGGATGTTTTCTGAAAAGCCCCGGATGTTTCACTGAAAAAAAAAAAAAAATGTCTCGTGAGTAATGTGCAGTACCGGAGTCCACCAGAGAGGCAGCCGCTGCGGGACATTCGCTTGCGTACTGCGTAGCCTTCCCTGCCCTGAAGAAGAAGTGATCCTTCCTAGTGCCTGACAAGTTTTAAGCTAATAGCCTATAAAGTGATGGATATTAGAAAGTTATTTTCATCGAAGCAGGCGCCACAAGCTGCAGCAGCAGTGTCAGCAGCTGACAACAATGTCATCACCAGCAGTGAAGAAATGGATGATGTTTCAGGTTTGTGAATCTAATGGTGATATCTGCGAGTGATGTAACGTTAATGTTATGAGTAACCACACTAAGTATACCCTTATATGTTAGTATTAGGGCTGTCAAGTTTAACGCGTTAATAACACGCTGGTGCGCTGGGCTAATGCTAATAATGCTAATGCG